GAGATGTTCGTCGTGGATGTGCCCAACGTCTACACGCCGTTCAAGAAGCTCCCGCCAAAAGCCGTAGGCAAACAGGGGGGAGGCATGGTTTGTGCATTTGGCATCCATATTGCGTGTGTGCTGGTCTCATTAGGTGAGTTCTGGGTTCTGGTACAAGGAGTCCACACCACCTCCACCCTTCACGGGCTTCACCTCCATCCGGTCCCTCGGCGACCTGCCACACGACTGCATCAGCAACATAGCCAACTACATGCCCTTCGGCACCGACATGTGCCGCGTCCGGCTCGTGTGCAGAGCCTTCCGCGCGATCGTCAACACCAACTTCCTGACCAACCGGATCGAGACCTTCATCAGCACGCGAGGCCTCACGGACGTCGTGCGCATGGAGGATGCGGCAGATGTGTCGCCGGCCAATCTGCCCAAGTACCTGCTGGGCCTGTCGTGGATACTCGAGAAGGGGGGCGACTGGGCGGGGTGGGGCGGGCCGCTGAGATGCGCTGCCCATGGCGGCCTCGAGCGGCACCCGCCGCTGCGGCCCTTCTTCCTGCCCATCAAACTCGGGTGGCGAGAGGTGCAGAAGGTGACGTCGATGCGCATCTTCCTCAAGCAGCCGGAGACCATACGGCAGTACATGGTACGCATCCCTGTCAACACGTCCATCCATCCATCCATCCACTCACACGACGAAAAAGGCGGTTTCTTTTCCTCTCCGTGTGTCTGTGGATGTGTGCAGGTGTTTGGTCATCTGCTGGAGTTTGCGGTGGGGCCGATCAACGAGCACGGACATGGCCGTCTGGGCGGGCAAGGCCTTCAGGTGAAGCGATCTGGCTCACTCGCGTTGAACCACCCATTCGCCGCGACGTTCAACCGCAAGGACCCCGTGTGTCAGGGTGAGAGAGAACGCACTGGCCAAAGATCCAAATGCCCGTCCTCATGTGTGTGTCTTCCTGTGTGCAGTGGGCAGTCATGTGTATCCCACCTTCACGGATGCCGTCGTCATGGGGTACAAATCCACCCATCCACCCACCCATCCACCCACCCACCTAGCAGCACGACACGTACATGATCTGACTGTAGGCTGTGCTGTCATTGTTTTGTTGCTGTGCGTGCAGGCGTGTGGTGAAGGAGCGGCTCGGCTTCGAGTTCCACCAGAACCAGTGGAAGCTGGTGCTCGAGGTCAGCATCTCCCGGCGGACACATGGCCGCCGCCATATGCAGAACCCCGCAGCCTGGGCGTACATGACCCATCTCCTCGAGACACCATCCACATTCCAGCGGGTGGCCAAGGACGTGCCCATCACCAACACCCACACCAACACCCTCGGCACCAGCACGACAATCGTATTCCTCAGCTGCGGGGCGGCAGGTGGCCCGTTCGGCGTCGTGATGATAGTGCAGAAGAGCGGCACCGGTGATGCCGAGAACGCCAACATCATGATCCGCACCAGCGAGCGACAAGCCGATGAAGGGTTCCCTGGCGAGAGGTACCCGAGGACCGCCCGATTCATCCGCAGGGATGACGTCGTGGGGCTCGAGACGCTCCGGATGATCTTCGGTGACGGCGTGGACTCCCAACTGGCCGTGCGGGCTGGCGGCTTCCCCACCTAGGTGGGTAGGGGGTGTGATGGATCGGGTGGTGGTTCTCACTGTCCGTTTGGTCCTTTGCCCTTTCCTGCAGATGGATCGCTCCATCTCGGGGCCCTTTGTGCAGCCTCTCCGCCCCTGTTAGCCGTAGCCGTAGCTGTAGCCAACACTGACACCCATTGCCCCACATATGGTTGCTGATCGAGTGAACGGGGGGGG